ATATATATTTAGCTCGCTATTTAGCTTATTGTCGCGTTTCATCAATTTTGTCGTCTATCTTTTTAAAACTGAATAAATCCATTAAGTTTGCCAACAATCAAGTTTAAAACCTTGTTTAAAACAGTTGTTGAAATAAAATTATACACTAATCTTGTAATGTCTGGATTTTAAATGCTAACTTCTAGTGCATTATGCATTATGCATAAAATTAATACCGTTAGACTTGTGACAATAATATTTAATTTAAAAATTTAATTAAAATGTAGTACGTTGAATTATTATACAAATACAGTATGAAACGTCTTCTTCAGGTAAAATATTTAATTAACATGTAAACTCATAACATAATTAACTATATCATTTAAACTAAATTTTAAAAAATTAACAAGTCCGCACAGAGAAATAAGCGTTATTTTCTAAAAACGAATATTTCCACATTAAAATTTCTCAACCAGAATTTGTTTGCCATCAGAATTAAATAAATATGCATTTAAATATGTTTGTATGTTTAAAAGTCCATATCGAAAATTTTATCAAATATTTCACCGCGGAAAAGCGTGCTTGAGAAATAAAATTTTCTCGAACGAGATATGCGTAAATACCGATTGCCCGGATGAGAATGTACCATCATCGATAATCCATCACGGTTTCTGTATACCATCTATAATTTGTCGGCGCAGACAGGTCTTGACGCCCTCGATCGATCGATCCGAGTCGAGGGATCGTCGAAAAAAATGCAATACGTAAAGCTCGCGTGTCCGGTTTTTCACGATGTCCTCCCTCTTAAGCCCCTCACCGTCACATATATCGTTGCACATCTCACGAAGCCCATAAACTTCGATGGGAATCGAGTTTCTTAATAACCTTTCCGCACACGAGATTTCAGCCGACCGCCTCGTAAATAAATCAATGCCAAAGAAAAATACCGGATTTTGCGAGAGAACGCGCGCGCGCGCCTACGTGTGCTCCAGTGAAATTCCACTCACATTACACTTTCATTGAAGCGCACGTACTAGAAAAGTTTTTCCTACGAAATCGTGCGACCCTCGTCTTACTTTTATTCTCGTCGCGACAGTAAGCGAGCGCAAAGTACTTTCGATAATCGTAATGAAAACTTGACACTCGGCGTCGTGCGTTCTTCTCGCAGACGAGGAAAATTACGGAGACAATCGTAATGAAAAAACTCGACACTTCTCGCGGCGCGAACAAATTGCAAGACATTACGTGGTAATTATCCCTTTTATAGATGTTACGAGTGCAATTTCGTCGCGTCAAACAGATTTAAACTTGATACAAAAGGTTCAGATTTCATCCGTCTTTCCTGTTCGTACATTTAATTCGAAATAATTAATTTTCCTCGTACAGTTTTAATATTAAAATCACGGCAGTTACATAAATTATTACGCGACTTTTACGAAGAGGAAAAATATGACCAAATTTGAAAAGGAAAATAAATTTACACTACGCATCATACCGACTTTCCCGTATTATTAGTTTGGCAGAAAAGAGTTGGCTGATCGCCAGCGAGGGACAGGCAGTTCGCATAATTCCATGTCTCTTTTATCGTCAGACCCTACGACTACGGAAGAAAGGGCAATCCTACCAAAAGATGAGTTTATGTACGTCCTTAGGAGCGCAAAATTGATACGTGATGACAGTGGGATCGCCAAACAGAAAAGTTCCCCGAATACTAGTACAAGGTGCCATAAGCACGAGTGGAACGATCGTAAACTTTTACATTCGCATACAAATTCTCACTAAAACGATCCTTAAAACGAATACTGCACTTACGTATAAAACCACCGTACACTTCGACTAAAAGCACTTTGACTCGTTTGCCGAAACGTTAGAAACTGGTTAGTCTGTAATAAGAAATAAGTTACGCCGCAAATATAAATCTTTACTATTTTCTCCTAGACTGAGAAAAAGATTGATTTATCGACAACCATTCAAAAAAATTGTTCGTTTAATGCACTGTTATAAAGTTTTGGGGATTAATAATAACGTAATGCACATTCATGTAATAATCGCATTGTTCCGACATGTATTTTTAACGCACGCCGCGATGGAATACGTTTACTTTTCATTTTCTCCGAGCAAAACATTGAATGTTAACATTTTTTATTTTTGTTTTGAATGATATGTAAACTCACGTACCACACATGCTAACAATAGAATCGTTAGATTCTGAAGTTGCGCCCATGGGCACAACACTGTGCCGTCGAAATATTCTGGTTTTTCACCCAATTTCATATCGAAATGGAAAAACCTGTTTTTTTCGCAAGAAAATAACCGGCTCCCTGGAGAAAAATATGTTTTTGACCCGGATTTGTATTTTAAAGTGGCGAAAATACAATGCTTTTGCACCGTAGCTTAACAAAAAGGGCTAAAGATAAAATTAAAAAATCGCCACTAAATTTTTAATTTCACGCATCATAAATTTAGTTTTTATGGAAGCTTGATATACTATATATGTTTGATAACGATAAAAGTCTATTCGTTTTTTCTTATCGCGTGAAAGAAAATCTTGAAAATTACGGAACGTTGCATTTTTATTTCTGAAGGAATTTTTACGTTGACTTTTCCAAGCAAAAATTGTCAAATCTGACCGAGTGAAAAGTCAATCAAGTTACTTCGTTCTACGAATAGAGAATCATCGTACACCAATCGTTCCAATCCTGAAAATTGAGTATATTTTTCCGGGAGCAAAAAGGGGCCGAGATGGAAAAGGAAACGGATGACTGGGCTTGTCTGCCTATTCACGATTTTAAAACTTGTACCATATCGCTGTCGATTGTTTTCTGTCATACGAAAAATATTTCGCCGTTCAAAAGGGCGAAATTAAAATTTGCGCAAAACTATTACAGTACCCAATAAACGATACAAGTCATACGATATAACATTTCCCACCAATCTCGCGGTTCTCTCATACAGACTCTTTGATCAAAGCGAAATGAATATTTCTTTAATCAAAGCTTGATAAGTATTTTCTCGTAAGTTTTCAATTTTCAATATTAACTGTTGTACAACTTCAGTATTAAATTGTTGTAACTTCTAATCAATTTGTTAAAACAGAAAATATCACAAAATCGATTAAAAAATTTAATTTTCAATTTGCAGCTGAATTAGAAAGCAAACGGCTTCTCATTTATAGACGCTAATTACCGAAACTATTTCTGCTTTGACAAGTTTACCCACAATAGTAGAAAATGGCGTCAGATAATGGAATATCCTATAGATCAATGAACATTCGCGACATAGTAATTAATATTTGCAACGAATATAATTAATATTCATCGATGATATGATTATTACAATAATTATGAATTATTCATTAAGCATCAAATATCAGTGAAGTTCGTTCTGCAATATTATGCAGCAGTCTAAAGAACGCATATTATAACGAATGATAGGGATTTAATGAGATAAACAATATCCGTACGATGGAACGTAAATGATCTTCAAAAGTACAGCACACATCGAAAACGTGGTAATATAGATAGTTAAATCATTATATTGCGACATATATCTCATCCAAATATAATTCCATTTTCCTCGAAAAGACAATGCAGACAATCGGTCACGCAAATTGCGTGAACCAATAAACGATGGAGGTACATTAGTTCTTAAATACACTATTATAAAATTACTTCAACTGCAACAATTTCGTACCTCAAATAGCAATCAACAAATCCTTTGTTGTTCATAAATAAAATCAATGTCTTTACAAATCATATATTAAGCCTTTGCAGTTCAAATTATTTTCCACAAATAAGCCAAAATGGAATATTCTGTCCTCAATTTTATTTAAACAACGGGTCTAATAATTCAAAGAATTTTTATTATTTAAAATAATTTATAGTTTTAAAAATATAATTTGCCGATTACAATCAGGTCACATACGGGCAAATTTAAATGCTTCAAGAATCATCAATAGGCTGTCGCGGAGCATTATATCGAACTAGAAATAGAACTGCAAAGAGTTAAAATATCTTATAACAAGAGTTAGTCAATATCTTGCGCTGTTTACGCGAACCTCACATCTCTATAAATATCTACAGACAGTATACTGTCAATGCGACGCGAGATCAAACGGAAAAACGGGAAAGGTAATGGAAAGTATTGACGAAACCCGCGCGGTTGATTTTAACGACTCTCTAAAATATCTCAGATTTTTAGAGCGATACTCCGTCTCTCAATAATATCAATAGCTATAAACCGTAAAGCGTCATCGAGCCCGGTCGTTCGTGAAACGCGCGACGCGTCGCGTCGGTTGGAAGGTCAACGCGCCCGAGACATCCCGCAGCAGCACGTGCTGTTCCGAAAACACGTGTTTCTCCCCTCCCGCCGCCGCGCATGGAAACACTCACCGAAGTCTTCCTTCTATCGGCGCAACGTATGAATGGCGCGTTGAAACACGTCGCGCGAAAACGAGACATTTACGCACGTCTTTAATCGTTCCGCGATCAATTCTGTGAAGATAACCATAAGAATTCGAAGACCGTAACGAATTTAGTAACAGTGAGCCGCGCACCATTTACATCACTTTAGCGATATTACGAGAGATTGTGCAACGAAAGAAAGCGGTCGAAATGTTTGAAGACTGTCGTTAAACGCGATCAGCTGTTACCGTCTCACAACGCGGGCGAGAGAGAGACGGAGCGAACACGTGCGAACGCACGCGACGTTACTACCGCGAGTACCGCGAGTAACGGTGACTGGATCCGTCGCGCTCGGCCCAACGTTCCACACATTCGGCGAGATAAAAACTCATTCGGCGTGTGTGTGGACAGAAAACGGAGAAGCGCGATTGCGACGGACGCGAAAATATACAGCGAAGATTAAAGGCAACGCAGAGATACGAGATGTCGCGTATATACACGCGGATAGGAAAGCGGAGCGAGAGCGGAGTAACGCCGTAGGCGCAGAAACGGAGGAGAGCGCGGAGAGAGGTTAGAATCGACCCTCATCGCTCCGGGAAACGGACTTTCGGCACTTACCTCGTGCGCCCGCGGATGCTGGTGATCGCAGTGACGGTGCTCGAACATCCCGCTGGCAGGAGCCAACACAGCGCACACCGCGAGCAGAACGGCGAGCGGCGACACGCCGGTGAAGCGGCGCATCTTCAACCGCACTCGGGCCGCCATCACGGACGACGCGCGCGCTCGCAGAGCATGACACATACTGAGCGCGCCCGCCGGCCCCACGCATTTATATGGCTGGCGCCGCGGCAGGCAGCGCCGCGCGACTCACGTTCGATACCCCGAGCGCGGAGGCGGCAGCGGCGACGGCGGCGGCGGCAGCGGTGGTGGTGGAGACGGCACTCCGACGACGAGGACGGCAGCGACGGCGGCAGCGACGACGACGACGACGACGACGCTGTCGCTGGGATAAACCCCTCGTCGTAAAGAACCTGCGAAGAAATCGAAGGACTTGTACGACGTGCTGAGGTATAAAACTTAAATTTAATACGACACGGTTTTTATTCGTCGTTTTATAATGAATAGCGAAACTAATAGTAATCGTCTTCGCTTACACCCCTGTCGAAGCAAATACTGTAAAAATTTGAAACAAAAAGGAATTATATTATATGTATATTAATATTTGCTTGGTTGAATAAAGTATTTAAATTATAAAAATAAAACGTACAATTTGTATTTTACAATATGCATTCGCATATGTTCGAGATGTTAATGTGTGTTGTTATGATAACGTTAAAAAGAATACCGAACGAAAGATTATTCGTGGTACGAATTGTAAAATATGCTTTAATTGTAGGTATGCTTTTTATTTTAAAACAAAATGCTGTCATTTGCATACAGTATTTATTTTATCTTTATTTACATGATTCATTTGTTATGATTGATTCGAATATTTAAGGTGGTACGTCGTAAACTCATTTTCTTAGAAATCTTGTAAAATTTGGACAGCATATTAATGTAAACACGCTCTACACACATGTGCAATTGAAAAGATTGACCGTACCAAAGTTGAAATAATAGAGATCAATCTACTCTTACGATTTTAACGAAAAATAAGAAGACGATAAAAAGAGACTTACAAGAATGTTCTTACAAAAATACAAGACCTTTGACCGTCTTTCGAAGCAATTGATACGTAAAGTACACAATTTCTGACAGCGGTGGATGCATACCTTTCAAGATCTACAACCAATCATTGAAGATCTAATAGCACACATTAGTGTCTATATATATGTATGTACATATGAGATTCTTACACAGACACATGCATAACGCGGACAATCCCAGCCAAATACTATGGCTGCGTTCGGAAACTTCACTCGAGTGCACACCAGCATTGTTCTATCTTTGTTACTAACTAAAAATTGAACAAGGACAGAACGACACATGGTGTGCACACGAGTGAAGTTTCCGAACGCAGCCTATAGGCTATATGTCCTTTGTCTATCGTTAACTTTTTGACAGTACTGTCACGGACGAACTACCTTAACGATATTTTAAGCTTTCACGACTTAAGAAAATATACCGACTAATAAATTAATATTAGATATCATATTTCTATTTCGACATTCTCAAAATAACGAATACGATTTTTTCAATCGTTCATATATTCTTAAAAATAATTATTTATTTTTTCCAGTGATGAAACATGTACCTATTATCCACATTCAAAAATATTTAGCGTAACTCAATATACGAGTGAAGAAAGTTAACTTTAGAATATAGATGTAGACATGGATCTTTTGGAAAACATTTCATTTTCTACCCTGAAATATCTGTTAGACAAACTATTTTAGATAAAATCAAATTCCTTTAGTCGAGTTTTCTCCATAAGAATTAATACTCTTCAATATAACTTGCAACAGAAAGAAAAGAGATATCTTAACAACAATAATAGTTTCCCAATAAATCAATACAAATAATTAAATAAGTATACATTTTGAGATTACTTTCTATCTGTAATCTTGTTACTATCAATACTATTAATATCAAGTAACGTCAGTGCCAGAATCACTCAATATCAGAAAAAATCGTATATATAGGTACATGCCATAGATATCGTATTATTATAGATATTTATCAAAGGAAAGATTAATTTACTTTACACATCGTAAGATATATAAAGTAATATCAGCATGACATTAAATTCACTTTTTTCTTTATCTGTGATTGAGTATTAAAATCAAATAGCTCCGATCACTAATCCTAATCAACTTATTCGATTCTTTGATGTAACTCGACCTTTACTATACCACCGTTGTTGTATAGTCGTAGTTAGTGATACCTATCTTGACGGAACAAGAAATTTAATCCTTATACCGTCGTGATCAGAAAGAGGTCGAGAGAATTTTTTGCATCTATCATCGTATTTCATATTTGCGCTTGGAAATGCGAGAAAAATGAAAAAAAGCTTTTTCAAAGTTTGATATATAATCCGGTACTTATGCGTCAGAATAATTTACTGCATATTGGAGTAAACATTACGATATGCCGGTAGACAACATAAAATATAAAAGAAATGAAATACGCATTTTTTTAATTTAATTAATTAATAAAAATAAATAAATTCCATTTTAAGCATGTTGAAATCCGTCGAACAATCGCTAGCCGATTTACTGCGTTAAATGTCTCGAAAAGAACCTGAATATGTTCTTTTTACATACGTGACCAAAGAAAGTCACTTCAAAGAGGTTAAAATAATATTGTTAGTGACAATATTCTTTGCTTTATACGGCATGATAAGGCTGACGAAGCTTCGACTAGAGTCAACTCTGAGAAATCCCGAGCTGTACATACAATAAAGTTTATATCTTTTAAAAAGAATTTCTACAAATAATAAAGATAATCAATCATAGCGATATTCTTGTCGATAACTTTATTATACAATTACCGAAACTATAATAGTCATTGAAATTAATGTAAGTGCAAAATGAAAAATTATTTATAGCTGTCTCGCATCTTATTTAAAAGAATGTAATATATAATATTTATTAAATGTATGTCATATATAATTATCCTCTCGAGTTTATCTAGAGTTTCAAAGATTAAAAATAAATTGTAAAAATTTTAATAAGGTTCCATCAATAATAAAATCTCGAAAATTTACATGCAAATGCAAGAAATGTGCAGGAACATATATGGAAAAATATTCGCAAAATCGCGAGCACCTTGTGAGCAACTGTGCAGCTAAAGAAAATTATCAAGCTTGATATGTAAAATGCAGTAATTTTCTCGTATAGCAATAATAGGATTATTACGGTCTGATCTATCAAGCTTGACATGCAGTAATTTTCTTGTATAGCAATAATAGAATTATTACGGTCTGATTGTCGCGATGCTTTTACAAGACGAAGCCGGTAAGCAAGTAAAGGAGAAGCGTAACATCGAGATCGCTGATTGCAACACCTGATGTATAATTATGATTTTACTTCGTTAAAAAAGTAAAATGCACCGAATGCGTGAATTCGAACAAAATATACCAAACAACAAAAATTAATGGAAACTAGATATTACTGCAGCTATCCTGAAATGATTCAGTCGGGAGCGAACAGATAAATGAAAATTATTCTAGCAATATGTTCGTATAAGAAACAAATAAAAACTTTTTATTAACACAGCTGCTTCAGCTGTTAACTTCTAGAGGAATTTTGCGAGGGATTTACGAAATAAAACAAGTATCATAATTTATTCGATATTATTTGCACGGTTTCCAAATATAATATATACATTCCATTGGATCTGTTCATTTTCACTCAATTATTAACAAGCCATTATATAACATTACATATAATTGATATACCAAATCATACAAATAATAATTATTCATATTTAAATATAATATAATATTTATAATTATGATTTCGCTCGCGCGTTATCGCAAATACCATTAATCTTTACAGATCTGAGCGTACCATTTTTTGCTGGCATCGCAATTTAAATTTACGCAATGGGGACATCGTGTTAAAAATTTCGGATTTACAGATTGTTTCGATCTAAGGTGAGACACAACAATGTCCGTCAAAGCGTCGATAAAAATAGGGTGATCGTTAGGCGCGGCAGCTCTTCGTATTCCCTCGATACCAAGCTAGAATGATTAAACATAAAATATTCGTTGTTCCTTATATTAGACAGTAAAATGTGACAGCATTTCTTACTTCCTCAGCAAGCTCTCGGCAGTATTCTATGTCCAATTCATGAAGAGTTTCAATATGCTCGTTTACAAACGCAATTGGTACCAAAATAAAATTTTTCTTGCCCTGTTTAACGTAACCCTTCAACGCATCATCGGTAAAGGGTCCTAGCCATGCCATAGGTCCAACCTAAATATATACATATATTTCGTAATACATAACGCAGTAAACGCAACACTTTCTCCAAACCGGCTAAACTTCGTTAAATTTTAACGAAATTTTACAGCATGTACATTTATGTACATACCTTCGATTGCCACACCAAGCTGTATGGATTGCAGTAATTTAATTCCTGCATCACTAATGCAACTGTGGCTCCAACTTCCGCGGGATAAGAATCTCCTCTGTTTACAACCTATTTACGGAAAAAAAACAAATCAGACTAATTTCTCAATGAAATTATAAAACTAAATACACATTGATTCGATGATCGTAACCTGCAATGGCAAGGAATGTGCTGAAAATAAAATTATCACATCGTCTCTTTTTTCGCTAGGAAATTGTGCAAGTTCCTCTTTAATCCTTTCGACAAATGTTTTTACAAGAAGCGGGTGCATGGCCCATCTATCGATTATACTCCATTTCATGCCATTTGGTAACTCTCTGCAAAGTAAATTCTACTTGTTTCCTGTGTATAGATTTTAACATATTCTATTTTCTATTTATTCTTATTTATTATATCCTATACATTAAAACAATAGAGGCAATAATTTTATTCATATAATGTAAATATTTTCCGTATGTATTGCAAATATATTTGAACAATAGCATACGGAACACACACTGCATCTCTAATTTTGAATAAATCTGGCTATGAGAAATATGTGAAAAAATAGATAACAAAAACAATTAGTCTTTCATGTCAATCTATATGCAATTAGTCTTATCTATGCTAAAAATGGATTAAATATAATAATCACCTAGTCTTGTAATAATTGTATATAGCATTAAAACTGGAACCTGAAGTTGAACAACTATATTGAGGATATTGAGAAAAAAGTACAGTATGTTGTACTCCATCGCTGAAAAAAAAGCACAACTCATTCGAATTATCTAATATTCATGTTTCTACAATCATGTTTATACGCTGCACATATTTAGATTAGATTACATCTATCTAATAATAAGAAAATATGATAACCGTACTTGCGTATCCTCTCAAGAGTATCCTCTATGAGAGGATCTGCGTACCGAAAGGCAACATAATATTTATGAGGTGCGGTTTCAGGCGAAATTTTATCCAGCTTCCTGCATAAAAGTTCGCCCTGCTTATTCGTCCATTTTAGAATTGGCGACCCACCGCCAATCTCAAAATACTTTTTCTGTACTTCTGGAGTACGTCGTTTGGCTATCCAAGGACCTAATTTACTGCAACATACTTCTATATAAGATATCTCCTACATAATATCCGCTTCTATATCATGATATGTCTATAAAAATTTAGATTATAAAATTAAAACCTTTGAATTGGCAGTTGGATCATGTCACGATCGGTCATTATTCTTAACAAATACTCATGGACCTGATCAGTGTTGCTAGGACCACCCATATTTAACATTACTATACCAGTCTTTGGTTTTACACCGTCTTTGTCCACTGGATTTGCAGCAACAGAAGCGTAGCATCGTGCTACAGCAGCAGATTTTGTGCACTGTCGTCCTGTACAACATTATATTACAATTATCTAGTATTTATTTCATCACTCTACGTAAGAAAATTTCAAGGACAAGTGGAAATCACGGAATATGAAGCAAAACATAAAAGTCACTTGTAAACCAGAAAAACTGCACAAACTTTAGCTTACAATAACATCCCGTTTCATGAAATATAATAGATTTCATAAATTCAAAGTTTGTAATATTAAAAAAGTCCATTTGCGTGCCACTTTAAACAGTGAGATGTATTCTGAGCTTGGGGTTAACATTATGGCTAATAAAATTCTAAATGTTGAGCTCGATAAAAGGAGAATTTATCATTAACATTCTACTGCTGTACTTGACAGCGGGATTATTTCATTGTTTCTGCAAGAGGTGGTTCAAAGTATCGAGGTCCATTGACTTACCGAAACATAACAGGCTCGTTAACAGACTGTTAATGCTCATATTTGAATAGCACTTAATAACCTTGAAGACTGAAAAATTAAAAATTGCAACGTAGAGGTTATCACGACGAGCGTTATGAGACTAGTGAGTTGTGCACTATCACGATGACAGATTATACCGTTAGATAACAGCAAACAAGTCAAATCCTCGTGACTATAGGTTAGGTTCGACGTAACACAGGCAAATACACATGTAATCGCGTATAAGTAGGAATCGTGCGTAAACGATTCGGTATACAATCAATTAAGATTTTTAATCCTACACAATTTGCTTCCTCCAGATAAATAATGACAGTTCCACGTGAATAGAAATTATTCAAACACAAAAAAAAAACTAAACGTTACACATTCGATTTCACATATTTATTGCACAGTCCATATTAATATTATATTATATTATTCCTGGCAAATGGATCCGTTTCCTGAAATAAATTATTAAAGTAAATTCTCGAAGTGTAAAAAATCGCGGAATT